GAAGTCTGCATATTTGTGGGCTATCCAAAAGGAACAAGAGGAGGTATGTTTTATAGTCCTCAGGATAACAAAGTGTTTGTATCGACAAACGCTACGTTTCTTGAGCATAACTATATGGCAGATTTCAAGCCCAGAAGTAAGATAGTTCTGGAAGAGTTGCTGACTGATCAGATTAGCCCCATGCCGGCAACAGTTGTTGGATGACAAATAAGGGAGACCATTGACCATGATCAAACACCACCGCCACCACGATGCAGTGGGGGGGAAATAAGATTGCCTACCCGCTATCGTGAAAATGGAGAAGCAAATGTTGTAGTCACCAATGGCAGTGAAGATGATCCATTGTCATACAAGATGGCAATGGATGATATTGATCAAGAAAAATGGCAAGAAGCCATGAAACTTGAAATTGAGTCTATGTACTCCAATTCTGTCTGGGAGCTTGTAGACCAACCAAAAGGCGTTAAGCCTATTGGTTGCAAATGGATCTATAAGAGAAAGAGAGGAGCTGATGGAAAAGCTGAAACGTTCAAAGCAAGATTGGTTGCAAAGGGTTTTACCCAAAAAGAAGGAGTAGACTATGAGGATTGAGTCTATGTACTCCAATTCTGTCTGGGAGCTTGTAGACCAACCAAAAGGCGTTAAGCCTATTGGTTGCAAATGGATCTATAAGAGAAAGAGAGGAGCTGATGGAAAAGTTGAAACGTTCAAAGCAAGATTGGTTGCAAAGGGTTTTACCCAAAAAGAAGGAGTAGACTATGAGGATACTTTTTCCCCTGTAGCCATGCTAAAATCCATCCGCATACTCTTATCCATTGCTACTTATTATGACTATGAGATATGGCAAATGGATGTCAAGACGGTGTTTCTGAACGGCCATTTTGAAGAGACCATTGATATGGTCCAACCAGAGGGTTTCATGGTAAAAAGCCAGGAGCAGAAACTCTGCAAATTGCAGAGGTCCATTTATGGACTAAAGCAAGCTTCTAGATCTTGGAACATCAGATTTAATGAAGCTATAAAATCTTATGGCTTTGAACAAAATCTTGGTGAACCTTGTGTCTACAAACAAATTCAAGGAGATAAAGTGGTCTTCTTGGTTCTTTACATAGATGACATTCTGCTCATTGGGAATGATGTAGAATCGTTATGCAAAGTAAAGATCTGGCTAGCCAGCCAATTCCAAATGAAAGTTTTGGGAGAAGCCAACTATATTCTTGGGATCCAAATTATCCGAGATCGCAAGAATAGACTTTTGGCATTGTCTCAGGCATCGTATATTGACAAGGTGCTTGTCAGGCTTTCGATGCAAAACTCCAAGAAAGGAAATTTGCCTTCTTGACATGGAGTTTATCTATCCAAGGAGCAGTGTCTAAAGACACCTCAAGAAGAAGAGGATATGAGACGAGTTCCCTATGCATCGACGGTTGGTAGCCTGATGTATGCAATGCTATGTACTAGACCTGACATATGCTATGCAATAGGGTTGGTTAGCAGATACCAGTCAAACCCAGGATTAGATCATTGGGTTACAGTCAAACACATACTCAAATATTTGAGGAGGATGAGAAACCATATGCTTGCATACTCTGGTAGGGATTTGATTCCTATTGGATATACTAATTCTGATTTTCAGTCGGATAGAGACTCTCGCAAGTCCACCTCAGGGGCAGTGTTCACTTTGGGAAATGGAGCCATCATATGGAGGAGTATCAAGCAATCTTGTATTGCTGACTCAACCATGGAGGCTGAGTATGTAGCGGCTTGTGAATCAGCTAAGGAAGCTGTCTGGCTTCATGAATTTTCTGAAGGAATTGGAAGTTGTTCCAAATATGCATGAGCCTATCATACTCTATGGTGACAACAGTGGAGCAGTGGCCAATGCCAAGGATCCCAGGAACCACCGCAAAAGAAAGCATATAGAGCGAAAATTCCACCTGGTCAGAGAGATTGTTTCTAGAGGAGACGTTTCAGTTGAAAAGATCGCATCCGCGAACAACATAGCTTATCCGTTTACCAAAACATTACCAGCTGGGAGTTTTGAGAGACATCTTGAAAATATGGGACTTAGAGACATGCCTCATTTGCTTTAGGGCAAGTGGGAGATTGTTGGGATATATGCCCATAAATCAAATAAGATGTAAATATTTTGCTGATTATCAATGAAATGAGGAATTTTTTCAATATTATTTTGCATACATGTGATGTTTTATAAATATCAAAATCCCTAGATTAGTTTTGATGTAACTTTAAACATTGTATATAATTGTTATATGCAGAGGATAATGTTTGAAATAAAATAATCTAAACTTGTCCGTAATTATAAATTAAAGTTAGGATCTTTAATTTAAAATTACTAATGCGGTTCATTACATTCTGAATGAAACAATCTTATCCTAGATTGTTAATAATGAGATTATTGGAATGAAAGCATTTTATGTAATATGATTACATAGGACTGGAACGCGATTAATTATGAATATCTAATAAATTCCGTTATTAAATAGAGTATTCAATGTTAATCAATGATGGTCATATATGTATTAATCTTAATTCTGAGTAATTAATAAACTCCTATTTATGATATTATGTTCTTTGACATATTGAGTAATGACACATGTGAATAGTGTCAAAGTCTTGGTATATTGGGAGCATTGTAAAATAAATAGCTGGGAATATTAATTTACAAGATGAAATCCCATAATAAAGTAGATGGACGGTTCCCATAAGTGTTTATTCGGGACTTGAATAATAAGAGCGTTCAATTTTATGATTGGATCATAAAATATATTATTCATTAGAGGATCAATGGTACTTATGGAGAAAGATATAATTAAAGAGGTTAATAGAAAATACCTAGCTTTAATTATGAACCGTTTATGGAGGATTAATTCGTATGTAGTGAATATATCAATGGACAACACAAATTCCGTGAACATAATTTGCAATTCCAAATTTATAGTGGAGTAATTTGGAATTAATAATTTTGACATATTAATTAAGGTGTTAATTAATTGTCAAAATTATTGGAGCTTAAAATTATAATGTCCATAGTTTCTCTCAATGGCTCTACAAGATTAATGTGAACTGAATATATCATATTTGGTTATGATTATTAATATAGAATTGAGAATTCTAAATACACATATTAATTAATTTGATTTATTAATATTAAAATTAATTTAAAATTGTTTTAAATTAACGGGGATGAAGTCTGTTCATAAGAGGAGTAACGAAAAAAAAAGTTTTTTTCCTGAGAGATTGTACAGATAGAAAGAAAAAAAAAAGAACGGGAGAACAAAAGAAAACCAAAGAAAATTTCTTGAGTGCCATCATATACTTTTGAGAAAAGTGAGTGATAACTATAGGTGGCTTCCCTATTCATCCATCTCATGTATTGAGAAACCTATTAGAACGCCCACACGTTCAAGTTCACGTTAATCCGGAGATACATTGAGAAAGAACCGTGGTGTTCTTGGAATTTAAGAGCTCAAGACGGTGTTAGAGGAGTTCAAGATTTTCGTCCTAATCGAACGACGGTCAAATCCTCATTCCTTTCTTTAATATCTTTGTAGTTAAATTAACATGAAATACTGATCGCATTAAATTTTGATTTACGTGATTCGATCGATACCACGCTCATAATTTTATTTTGAAAATCCGGTTTGAGAATCCAACAAGACGTACCCTAAGTTATTAGGGGGAACAACTATAAAATATCTGTGTCCCTATTTCTTTTATTTTTCCGTTGATTTATTTGATTGTTTACGTGATACTGATGTCATCCTTTAAATTTAATTATTAGGCCTCTAACAAATTTAATTGTAAATCTCACCCTCTATAGACATTATAAAATTTGAGGAAAAGAATAACTCGTCAACAGTGAAAAGTGCAGGTGCAAATGTTCCAAACAAAATAAATAAATCAATAAAAACAATTGCATGCATGTAAATGTTGGCCAAACTCTCCACCATTTGTCTTTAAATGTCACAGTTGGTGCAGTTGTGCGGTATCCAATCTGCACTAAATAGCATATGCTCTACAATTCCATGTCCACACGACCACAAACTCTTTAAAACGCCGTCGTATCAAAACCTTCTTCTTCTTCTTCTTCTTCTTCTAGGAAGAGCTTCTGTGGAGGAACAGCTTGTAAGAGAAAAGGAATTAGCAGAGACATGGATCAAACCGACCAAAAATCTTCTTTCCTTGTTTCTTCTGAAACAAAGGAGGAGACGAAGAAGGATTTTCAGAGCCGAAAAAAGCCGAAACGGTACGCTTTGGTGTCGTTTGGGGAGTTGCCGGAGTACATGAAGGACAATGAGTTCATATTGAAATATTACAGAGCTAATTGGCCTCTCAAAGAAGCCTTCTTTAGCGTTTTGCGTTGGCATAATGAAACTCTCAATGTGTGGACGTGCGTAAGGAATAATGACTTTTTCTTTGTTTTTAGTTTTTGGTTTTTGGTTATTGTTGGTTCATGTTTGTTTGATAAAATGAGAGTAGTTTTGTTTTTAATGGTGTTTTCTTAAAAAAAAAAAAAAAAAAAAAAAAAAAAATTTGGTTTGTTTTAGCTGATTTGAAAAATGTGTTTTTTGGGATTCTTTTATTCTTTTTTTTTTTTTTTTTTTTGCAGGCATTTAATTGGGTTCCTTCTGTTTCTGGGATTGACTATGGCGAATTTTTTGGAGGTGCCTCATGTAGCGGATCTCCTTGGTATTTTTTCCAGGTTGTTGGGTAGTTCCTTTTTCCATCTTTGGGATATTTCTTTAATTTTCCCTGATTTATTTTCTTTTTTGAAGAGATCAGTATAAGAACTAGAATAGGAGAAGAAATATAAAATTCAGAGTTAGACATACATACATATATTGTTCCTATATTTAGCATTCAATTTTGTACCTTCATCATAGCAAACATACGTAAAGAAATGTTGAGATTGAGCATAACTTTGTGGATGCATTGCCTTTTAGGTACTTCCCTCTTTTCAGGGCTAAAACTCCTTTTTCACTTTCTTAGATAACCAACTTTCAACCACCAACCTTTACTTTCCCAACGAAGAACTAAGGAACCAAATTGCATGACTTTTATTGTTCAATCAAGTGTGTAAAAAATTTTAGATAAAACTCCATTTTGCTTCATGAACTTTTGCTTTTAGAGACAATGTTATACTATTAGAAACTCCACATAGCAGTTTTTCATGATTGCCATTCTTGCATTTCATCATTAATTATAAGCAATTCTGTTTTCATTCTCCATTATTTATTCCATTAAACAGCTTGAACTTGACCCTTTACTGCTACTTTATTTGAGTATTCATATGCATACATTCTTGTTGCAGGTCTATACCTATTAGCTCCGATGCAAATGTTTCCAACAATTTCAAAGATTTCTCTGTTGTAAGTCCACTTCCTCAATATCAAATTACTAACATTTAGTATTACTCCCATCTTAACGCCGCAGCGCTTGTTGAGTGGTTAGGCCTGTGCTTTGCTCCCGAAAGGTCTCGACTTCAAATCCTCAGGCCCACCTACCTAGTGAATAATCGCGACTTCGCGAGTTTATATTTCTCAAGGATTGTAGAATTCATCACATTCTTTAGTTTCGAACTTGAGCCTGATAAACGGGTTTGGGGGATTTGTGGGATGCCAAAAGAAATTTAATATACTATTGTAATCTTCATTTGGTGACTTCAAGAAAAGAAACTAATAGCCATAAGTACATTTGCAGGGGACAACAAAACTGGTAGATTTGAAGCAAATAAAATCTCCAGGAATGAATAGCACTTCAATATTAAACAACCAAGATAGTGTAGAACATTGGCCATTCTCTGTCTTCTTGGGAGGATCCATGTTCTGCCTTCTCTCAAGCAGTATTTGCCACCTATTTTCATGCCACTCCCACTCTCTAAACATTCTCTTGCTTAGAATAGACTATGTTGGGATCACCACAATGATAATCACCTCATTTTTCCCTCCAATCTACTACATATTCCACTGTGACTCAAACTGGCACCATGGCTACCTCGGAGGGATCACCCTCATGGGAACTTTCACCATCCTCACGCTGCTCTCCCCGAAGCTCTCGGAGGGCAAGTACCGGGGTTTACGAGCTCTACTCTTCTCGTCCATGGGGTTGTTTGGGGTTGTTCCTACAATTCATGCACTTATTGTCAATTGGGACAATCCAAGGAGAAATCTCATCCTCTCTTATGAGTTGGCCATGGCCTTTTTCTACTTGACCGGGACCGCCTTTTATGTTAGTAGGGTTCCGGAGAGATTGAAGCCTGGTTGGTTTGACTTGGCAGGGCATAGCCATCAGATCTTCCATGTCTTTGTGGTCTTGGGGGCTTTGGCTCATTATGGTGCTACAATTGTAATTGTAGATTGGCGCAACAAAGTTGGTTGTATGAGAAGTATGTAGTTTATGTTATTATAATTAAGTTATTTGGATTATTTGTTTGATTCATATTTTTAGACAAGTACTTGAATTATTCATTTGTTTTAGTACATCAATTAATTACGAATTGTAAAATGTGTTCTATAGCCTAAGGCTGCATCTCGTTGTTTTTACCTAGTTTCCAATGTAGGAAGAATTGAAAAACTTGTGTCTTTTGCTTATTGTAACGTTATTTTTTGTTTGCTTTGTAAACCTTTTGTATTAATTTTTTTTACGAACGTATTTATTTATTTTAAGTGATAATTATAGGATCTCCTTTATAAATGGCCGTTAAATAGTAGGCAATGATCCTTTAAGGGAAAATGCTTACGAAATTCATTTTACGGAAATAGTAGAAAATAGGCCAATATGAAAAGCTTAAGGAAGTATAAGGGAAAATGCTTACGAAATTCATTTTACGGAAATAGTAGAAAATATGCCAATATGAAAAGCTTAAGGAAGTATATAGGCCAATTTTTAGTTATAAAAATTAATAGGCCATAACTTGTCAAGTTATGGTTCATAACTAGATAAGTTATGGACAAACTTGTCAAGTTATGGTTCATAGCCAGACAAGTTATGGACAAAACTGTGGTTTATGAACAATAACTTATCAAGTTATGGTTCATAATCATACAGGTTATGGACAAAAACAATAATTTAGCCTATTTATTAACTTATATAAACTATTAACCTATTAATTTTAATTCATCCCAAATTTTAACTTATTTTCTTTTTTCTCCCTTCATTTTACGATCCTAGCCCAAGTCCTTTCCTCTTGGGCTTTGTAGAATACAAACTTCATACTTATTTTTCTTTTTCTCCCTTCATATCCTAGCCCAAGTCCTTTCCTCTTGGGCTTTGTAGAATACAAACTTCATAACTTAGAAAGCAAGTCGTTCGATTCCCAAGCAAATGTAGAGTACCGAAAAAGAAAATAAAATGGTTGAAATTGCTTGGAAGTTGGGAAGCCCGCAATATGATTTGGTTGGTTTACTAAACTTTCCCGGATCCGATTAACATGGACATTGGATCTCTTGGCGTAAGGCAGGGCACGGTTATTAGAGATCATTGTCAAAGTCCTCCAAATTTCATCTCATGTCATTATGGAATCTTATATAATGAATCTTCAAACTAATATCCATTAATATAAATTTGATCTTATTTTTGAAATGCATTTTTACAGTAAGATTTGGATATTTCTTGTTGTTGGGTCACACTTAAAAAAACAACTTAAATTGTAAACAATTTAAATTGATTTGTTCATCATCCAATGCCTGATAAATTGCGGTACGACAAAAAAAAAGAGCTGATCATACATGGTTTAGGCACTGATTTTAGAAGATTTAAATCAACCTACGTCCTTTTGGTATGAGCTTTTCAAAATATTAATAAATTAACATGATATTAGAACAATTAAATTGCGTATACTGGAGACTGGTGATAGAATATGCATTATCAAGTGTCAATATCACCTCCATACTCAAACAATTTTGAATCAAATTTCAGAGATGATTAAAAGTCACCTTATCAATATGTTTATTTTAAGTCCCCCTTATTTATCATGTACTAGTATTACTCTAGCTAATTAAGTAGCTGAAAAAGTAAAACCTGGACAACTCCAACGTTTTCCAAGGCATCCGTAAGATTTTGTTTATTTCAGAGATCATGTGGTTTCTTCAATGCTGCTCGGACTTTTAGCATCATATTGCTTGCAGCTCAATCAAAAGAAAGCACATTCAAGAAGTTTGTGATCCAAGAGATCCCTCCAACTTTTATGTATTATAATCTTAAATGGGCACTTATTCTTAAACCCTGAAACACCCAGAAAATAGATTAAACACTAAAAAAATCCATTTCAATTAGAAAAATTAGCCAATCTCCACTAAAAGATAAAGCACAAAAATGGACAGGTTCCATAAATCTAAGTTTATATTCTACTCACTTTTAATGGTGTTGTACTTCATTAAAATTCAAGGTTAAAACTAAAATATATACAACAACATTAATTTATTCACTATCCTAGATTACCTCAGATAATTAAACAGCTACACCAAGATCCAAGCTGGCCAATAGCCAGATAGTACAAATCTTTTCCATATAGTCAAACTTTACTATATATTTATGCATCAAAATGGGCAAAGCGTTTTGAGTTTTCTACTTCTAGTGCATATAAAATCCCCACATGTGATGATATGCTTGGTCATCTTTTCTATATGAACCCTGAAGAAAGAGTAAGGAGAGGAAAAATAACTGATTCCCAAGCCATGGTTTCAGCCTTCAGCTGCTCCACAACTTTGCTAACACTCACAACTTTTTTTCTTCTTCTTCTCCTCTTCCTTTTCCATTACACACCATTTAACCAAAACCAGTTAATAATCCCTTCTTGGTCTTCTTTTAGTGTTACAAACAAAAGTACTCCAGATATTAGTAGTACTAATATCAGTATTAATACTACTCTCAGAAATATTACAATTACCAACTTCACAACCCCACAATTACCACAAGTTTCTTTAGATTCTTTTCTCTCAACTTCAGTGAATTCAAGCGCTAAGCACAGTTCAGTTGTTGTTAAAAAGGTTCTTTGATGGATCAAGTACTCGTATTATGCTTAAAAGCCTTGTATTGGTTTTTGGTCAAGTTTTGGCTAATACTATATCATGTGAACTTGTTGAGCAGAAGAAGAGGAATTCTGATAGAATTGAGCAACATTTGGCCAAGACTAGAGCGGCAATTTGGGAAGCGATTGTTTTGAAGAGTTTCAAATCGGAGGAGAAGGAGAGTTTTGTCCCAAGAGGATCTGTTTACAAGAATGCATATGCTTTTCATCAGTAAGCGGAAATCAATCTTTTTTTTTTTTTTTTGGGGGCATATCAATCATCTTGAAAAAAAAAAAAAAAAAGAAATCATATAAATCCTTTCACTTTTCTTATATTCTAGGAAGAAACGTGTAACTTCGTTTGAAAAAGACAAATAGAAATAAACAAACCCAATTTCTTCATTGATTTGGACTCCATTCTTTATGAGGAATCGGCCTTATTATGCAAGCATGGCTGTCTAGTCATTTGCAATTAACCCCTTCAAGCTATTAGTACTCCAAAAAAATTATTATTAAAATTCATGTGATTTGAGATTGCAGAACATACGTGGAGTTATATTTTACTGTTTTCACGATTGATAACTTGAATAATACGACTCTTTACGTGACAATTAATTTATAGAGAAAAAGAAAACCGCCAATAGTAATTATGATTTTTTCAACGAAGAAAATAATTACCACATACTAATGTCACCTTATTCAAAAGATATTTAGAAAAAAGGAAAAGAAAAAGAGAAGTTTGCCCCTTAATAGGAAGCATCACGCCGTACTCTTTTTACACTTTCAATAATACTTTACTTACAAATTACAGTCTTTAACTATTCTTATTATTATTCTTTTCATTTTTTTTTGGGGTGCAAATCAGGAGTCACATAGAGATGGTGAAGAGATTTAAAGTGTGGAGCTACAAGGAAGGAGAGCACCCAATTTTCCATATAGGGGCAGTGAACAACATATACGCCATTGAAGGGCAATTCATAGATGAAATAGAGAGTGAGAAGAGTCCTTTTAAGGCTAGAAATCCTAACGAGGCTCATGCGTTTTTCTTGCCGTTTAGCGTAACGAATGTCGTTCACTATGTTTACAAGCCAATTATGTCCAAAGATGACTACAAGCGTGATCGACTGCATAGACTAGTGAATGACTACATTGGTGTTGTGGCCAATAAGTATCCCTTTTGGAACAGAAGCAACGGTGCTGATCATTTTATGGTTTCTTGTCATGACTGGGTAAGTAAGTTCTTATTGTTTTCACAGTTGTGTTTAATTTGATTATTGTACCAAAAATTATTTCTTTAGCTTGTCAGTGAGGCATCTCTCGCTGGTTTATGCATGATGGGATAGCAGTGGGTCTTACAAGTAATTGCCTTTCCATGCTATCAGGGGAAAAAAAAAAAAAAAAGTAAATGATTTTCTAAGAAAAAAAAAAGTTACGATAAAAAGTAATTTAAAAAGGATTCTCTTTAGTCCCAAAGTAAATATCTGGGTACGTAGTTGTTTTTCTAAGATGAACTTAGAAAAATGACAACATAATGATAAATTTGTGGGTGCCATATGAGTAACTTACATCCAATAATTTTTCTTTTTGTCCCAACCAAGTTAAACAGCTCTGGTATTATAAGGAATAAGTCATGGTTACAATCGAATTTCAGCCTGTTGAATGATTAAAAACAAAAAACAAAAAGAACTGAACCGTTTCTTTTTTTTTTCTTTTTTTTTTTTTCAGCTGCTGAGATTATTTCTATTTAATTTCCATAATTTAGTGACTCAAAATTTAGCTGCAAAAAATTTGGTAGGTGCATTAGTTTTCGAGGTACTATAAGTGACAAAGACAACTACAATTAGCAATGTAATGACCATTGATTAAATTGAAAACCTCATTAGTAACGAAGATATACGATAACAATAATTTAGGAATGGTGATCTTTTCAATTGCTGCATTGCAGGAAATTACAACTATTTTTCTTTTAAGTTTTTGAGTGATTTTATGCATGAACGAGGATTATTATCCACCAATATATATATATATATATATATATATATATATATATTATTTGTGTTTTAATTTTTGCGATCAAATCCCACCTTCTGCCTTACGTCACTGTCCTCTCTCTCCTCTCTCTCTCTTCACACACTATAAGTACCATCCCCACGGCTTAATCTTCCTTTACAAGTATGAATTACGTATTAACAATTCCTCTTTCTTTCATATATATCTCTTATATATTCTTCTTCTAGTGGTTTCTTTCTCATTTGCTAATTTGCTTATTTGTTGGGCCAGTTAATTTGCTCTGTTTGTGCCCAAGTGGTTTCGAAGTAGCAAGCCCAAGAGTGGTGGAGGCAATTTATGCAGGGTGTGTTCCAGTGATCATATCCGATAATTACTCCTTACCATTTAGTGATGTACTTAACTGGAAAAAATTTTCAGTAGAAATTCCAGTTTCAAAGATACCAGAAATTAAGAACATTTTGAAAGGGGTTTCCAATGAGAAATATTTGAAAATGTACAAGTGTGTGTCTAAAGTTAGATTTCAGTAGAAATTCCAGTTTCAAAGATACCAGAAATTAAGAACATTTTGAAAGGAGTTTCCAATGAGAAATATTTGAAAATGTACAAGTGTGTGTCTAAAGTTAGGAGGCATTTTGTAGTAAACCGGCCAGCTAAGCCATTTGATGTATTTCATATGTTGCTTCACTCGGTTTGGCTTAGAAGACTTGATTTTAGGTTAGGAGATTGAAAGACTTGTAGACAGGTTTTTTTTTTTTTTTTTTTTTTTTTTTTTTTTTTTTTTTTTTTTTCTTTTTGTCGAATAAATACTAATGGAGTTTTCATGTGCTCAAAATCCTTTGGTTGCTACGATGAATGAGATTACAAAATACACAGTACCAATTGCGCACAAGTTCGTGAATTTTCTAAATTCCTATACATGCTATAATCTGTTTTTGGGTAGATGTAAAAGAGTAAAAGATGGCTGATCGAAAAGCGAAGGTAGGCGCATAGTTCAGTGATCTATGGCCAAAAAAGGAAACTCACAGAAGTCCCGATAAAGTTGTTTTAACAAGCTAGGAGAAGTCAACGAGAACTACAGTATGAGTGAGCGGGTAGGTAAGCAAAGCATGTAGCTCATGTTATGTAAAAGAAACTACTATTTTTGCTCATGTTATGTAAAAGAAGAGAGAGAGAGAGAGAGAGAGAGAGAGAGAGAGAGAGAGAGAGAGAGAGAGAGAGAGAGAGAGAGAGAGAGAGAGAGAGAGTGTGGAGTAGTTTTCTTTAAGAGATTGTGGAGTAGTTTTCTTTTATTCAAATTACTTGATGATCAACACTGTAATCTCTTAGATATAATTGACAAGTTAACCAACTCTAAGCTAGAAACAATGGCAGTAATGCCAACTGCACAAATCTTGCGGAATTAATTCTAAATTATATAAAAGTTGACCAAATTAGCAAATTAGCACCAAGAAACAAACAATACCCTGAGGTTGATCTTCTGTCATCAAGTTCAGATGCCCAATCTGCATCATAGAAAGCTGAAACATCTTGCTATGGAGATTTTATGAGATGCAAACCATAATTAAGTGTGCCCCCTCGAGTATCTTTACGTCCTCTTAACTGACTTCTAACGAGACTCTTGTGCCTTTTGCATAAAGTGAAGTACCTTGTTCAAACTATTGGACAATTTTGGTCTAGTGATTGTTGCATATTGTAAAGCACCAACAATGCTTCTATACAATTATGGATGAACAACATTATCACTACCAAATGAGGACAACTTGAAGACCTTGTCATGATAGTTGCAAAATCTTTGGCATATTGTATGTTGACTTTACATGACAGGCGCGATATATGTTTTGTTTGTGACAAAATGCAGTCCCTCATAAGTAGACTTGATTTAAATTCCCAAGAAATAATCAACCACTCCTAAGTCATTCAAAGCAAAATTATTGTGTAGAGTATCAATTAACTAGTGTAATTCCTTCCTATCATTACCTCTATCAACATATCATCCACGTAAACAAGTAGAAAAAGAGAACATGTAGGAGTTGTTTTTGTTGACGGTGGATTTTTGTCAACTAAAGATTAACTCTTCAAAAATACCTACAGTAACCTCTCACAGATTAATTAAGGATTAATGTTGCTGAATAATATAGAGAAGACAAGAATTTATAGTGGTTCAGCAAGATTTTTTGGCCTAGTCCATTTGTGGATGCACTAATACTTTGTTGATTACAATCTCTCTGGAGTAGTAGAATAGTACGTAAAAAACTTAAAGAATTCTCATGGCTCTATTTATAGGCATTGTACACATGAGAGACTTCCTCTACATTCCCCGAGGAGATCATCTTCTATCCTTAAATTCTAAGATTTGGCAGTTGCATTTTTATGATTACAGCTTCCCGGTCAGGCCAACCACCCTTACCGGTTTCCTGGTTCACTGACTTCGACAGTAGTAGTTGGTTCAGTGTTTCTTTGCTTAGGTTGACGGGACTATCTTTGGATTAGACTAGGCTGCTACCTCAACGTCGTGGCCCTCACCACCCAAGCGGGGCTCTCGACGCACGTTATCCTGCATGAACTCTCGACGTATAAAGGGCACCTTAGGTACAGTCGTTCTCTTGACGCCAGCGATCGATCCTCAACAGGGAGGCCTCGGCGCTTGTCGTCCTAAGGAATGATCGATTGCTCAACCACGGTGTAACAATTACCCCCTAGACTGGGATATCACATTGTGATGTTCCAGGCTATGCAGCGTCGAGAGTACCACGTGGCAACTTCTCTCCTGCAGATTATGGCGGCTGCTTGTAGGTCCAGTGCCATCATTACAGTGAGTTTTTCGGGCAGTGGAGCAGTCTCGTTAATCGTGTCAACGGTCACGTCCCCCATACCCTGGTGACACGTGGCAGTTGAGGGGGAAGTTGCAGCCGTCCGATTAGATTTATTTCTCCTGCTCTTATCCCAACCGGTGGATCACGTCTCTTCAGATTCACCGTTGGATGAGGTCGGTTTGAATTCGACGGTCGAGATCTGGTGTCGTTCAGATTTCTCTCCTGGGCTTCCCCCTCGGGTATATATATACCCTTTGAAACAGTTTCACGGTCGTTTATTTTGTAGAACGCCGTTACTCTACTGGATTTCCCCAGGAGTTACCGTCTCAAACTTCAACTTCCGCGTGCATTTTCAGTTCGTGGTTCTCCCTGATTTCCCAGTCTTCAGGCCACCTTAAGGAGTAGTAAGTGGCTTCGTTCCTTTTATTTTTCCTGCGTGATCCTAGAACCAATGCCTGTAAAAGAAAAAACAATCTGTTAAAAGAAAATGCACTTACTTGGTTGTCAGTCGTGAAACTGGGGCTGAGCATTGTTCACTTGGGCTCAGTTGCTCTTGTTGGGTGTCCTCAGGCTCGTTTCTGGATTTTGGGGACCCTTGTATGAGTTTTTCTTTTTATCTTCGCGCTGGGTTCCAGACTTTAGGGCCTCTCTGATCTGAGCATGCTCCCGTTTCTTCTTGAATCTTGTTTCTGGCCTCTCGACCACTAGGTACTAACTCGGCCCCTTCTATGTTTATTTCCAGAGCATGCCGCCCAAACAGGTTAGAGATCGAGAGGTCTCCACTTCCAGGGTTAGGGATGACCCTATAGATGCCGCGTCGTCGAGTACATCTTCAGGCGAAAGCGGGGATTCTCTGCTTCGCTAGGTGGACGAATACGCCGAGGGGTCGGCCTCGACCTCTCGGCCGCACGAGCTAATTCTCCTCGATGATGAGGATGATGGCCTAAGGGTCGGCCCTGCTGGCTGCTGAGGGGCGTGGTTACGGGGTGGTGTCGACCAGTGGCATCTCGGGGATGGTGACAGACGTCAATCCATCGAAGATAAAGCCCTGGGTTGCCATGAAGGCGTTTTGTGATGTGGGGATCGGCGCCAACAATTTTTACTTGATTATCCCGATCCCCAACGATAGGACTCACAACCCCCTGCCAATCACATGACCGTCTACATGCACTCCCTCAGTTTTGGGCAGACTTTGCCCTTTCACCCTTTCGTGAAGGCCCTTTGTGGCCTTCACAGGATTTCCCCCGCACAACTGTCACCTAATTTTTGGGTGATAATAAACTCCATGATCATCTTGTGGAGAAAGTTTTGAAACTCGACATAACTGTCGAGGAATTTTTATACTATTATGCCCTTAGGAGTTCCCCGGGTCAGAGTGAGTTTTTCTACTTAGGCTCCCACTCCAAATCCAAACCTTTAGTCCCGCCTGTCGTGGTCGAGAAGACCTCTAGTTGCCACAGGTGGAAGCCCTAGTTTTTTTTCCTAGGTGGCAACTTTAACTCTCACCCGCTCGACGGAGAGCGTCCCCTGGGGACGCAGACAGTATTCAGCAAATAATGTAGGTTTCCTCTTCACTGACAGTTTTTTTTCCTCGGTGGCAACTTTAACTCTCACCCGCTCGACGGAGAGCGTCCCTTGGGGACGCAGACAGTATTCAGCAAATAATGTAGGTTTCCTCTTCACTGAATTTTCGTAACATCTCCCCATCTGTCGAGCTATCTTATATATGTTGCTATTTACCGCAGGTGAAGTCTGTACTTGACCAAAGCTTTCTTCAGCTGCCCTAGCACGAGTCGAGCAAATCCTATCCCTCTTTGATTTCAGTCGAAGCTCTACCATTCTTAATACCCCAAAAAACCGTCGGCTATACGATTTTGTGGTTACCTTCGACCCTCCGCGCCAGCCTGTTGAGCCCCCTACAGATCTCCTCAGCGGTAAGTTAGACCTTACTTCCCCTCATCTTTCAGTAGAAGAAAAGGGAAGTGGTCGAGGGATTCTTGGATCTGACATTTTCTTTACTTGCAGCCGTGCCGTCCACCATGAGCTACGTTGTCCTGCCAAAGCCGAGGAAGAGGGAGGGAGGCACCTCCTTCAGGTCGTCGAGCCAATCGGCAGTCCAAGTCCTTAAAGCCCCCAGTGCCACTGAAGTCCCCATCCAGGAGAAGTTTGTCATCACCCCCGCTCCTAAGAGACCGAGGATGGAGGAGCTGCAAGACCCTTCATCGGTTGAGGGGTCGTCTCAGGCATCTCGGTACCTGGACAAGGGTAAGGGCACCAAGGTCGCCGCGAACCTAGTCGTCCCTCCTGCGCTTAAGGGGTTCTTTGTGATGCCGGGGTCAAAGATCAATGACCCCCAATTTCTCGTCTCGGATGTGGTCGACCACGACCTTAACCAGGCTCTGCGCCTCCCCTCTCGTTTCAACCTTCCCATCCATGCCATCTACACGCATTTTCACCCAGACTCTTGGGACAAGTTCGTAAGGATGGACCTTCTAGAGTGCCAGTGCCTAGTGGTGATCCACCAAACCTCGGTAGGTTTTGCTTGCTCACCTCTCGACCTCCGTTCCCACATAGTTGATCTTTGCGCCTTATCCATGCCCTGTCATTTTCGTTGTCTAGGCTCTCGAGGCTATGCTCCTGAATTATGTGGAGCTCGAGGCTTTGCTAAAGCAGGGCGTCTCGTTGAGGGCTGCGGAGGAGGAGATTACAGCTCTGCGCACTACCCAGGAAGAGCTTTCCTCAGATTTAGGGGCTGAGAAAGCCAAAGTCAAATATCTTGAGGAGGCGATCGCTAAGTAGAAAGGTGAGAGGTTCCAGGAGGGCTTTAAGGAGGGGTGCTTGTTGTGAAAAATCATAACGCAAGTATATGCTATCGCAATAAAGTAATATAATAGTGAATAAGAATATCGTCCCA